GGCGGCGGCTGCGGTGGCAGTCGCTGGGGCAGACCAGGCCTGCGAGCTGGGGAGCGAGCTTGCCAGATCCTGCCCCCGAGTCGGCCGGGGAGCCAGACAAGGCAGCGGCGGCAGGGGGCCGAGCGTTGCGTGGAAGCAAGGCGCGCCATTGAGGACCTCTACCAGCGGAGCTGCGAGGGCCTCGATGAGGACCAGCGGCAGTGGCTCCAGGAGCTACTTGCCCAGAACGAGGACCTCTTTGCGGCGAGAGACGCACTGCCCTGGTCCAACACGAAATCAACACCGGCGACGCTCGGCCCATCTGCATCCCACCGGGACGCATGGTTCACGCCAAGCAGACCGCCGCCGAGGAAAAGATCTGGGAGATGGCCGCAGCGGTGGTGATTGAGCCCTCCGCGAGCCCATGGTACTGGTAAAAAAAACGGCCTCTGGCAGTTTACTGTCATGCCTTTTGGCCTGTGCAATGCCCTGGGACATTCGAGAGGCTGATGGAGAGGGTGCTGGCATCGGTGCCGCGGAACCAGTGTGTGCTGTATCTGGACGATCTGCTGGTTCATGCCTGGGGTTTTGACCAGGCCTTGACGAACCTCTAGGTGGTGCTGGCCTGCATCCGCTGTGCTGGCCTGAGGCTCAATCCCCGCAAGTGCGAGCTCCTGCGGCGGGAGGTGACCTTCCTGGGATATGTTGTTGGACCGCGAGGGGTGGCTATGGACCCAGGTAAGGTCACTGCAGTGAGGGGCTGGCCGACTCCACGCACCGTCGCGGAGCTGTGCAGCTTTCTGGGGTTGTTCTCATACTACCAGAGGTTCGTCTGGACTTTGCCAGCATCGCTGCCCCGCTGCACCGCCTCACCGACAAGGGCCGCCATTTCGACTGGGACTCAGGCTGTGAGACAGCCTTCGGCCGGTTGTGTGAAGCTCCGGTGGGGGCCCCCGTGCTGGCCTACCCCGACCCGCGGTTACCATATGTTCTCGATACCGACGCAAGTAACTCGGGGGTGGGTGCGGTGTTGGCGCAGGAGGGGCCAGATAAGAAGTGTGTAGTGGCCTACTATAGTCGGGCTTTGGCTAGGGCTGAACGGAACTACTGTGTGGCGGCGGTCCACCACTTCAGGCTGTACCTGTTCGGGACCCGGTTCCGGTTGAGAAATGTCCATGTGTCCCTCACCTGGCTGCTCCACTTTAAGGAGCCGGAGTGGCAGATGGCGCGATGGATAGAGATCCTGCAGGAGTACGACTTCACTGTTGTGTACCGTGCGGGGTCTCACCATCTCAATGCTGACGCTCTCTCGCGGCGCCCCTGTGAGGCCACGGACTGCCACCACTGCGCCCGGCGGGGGCAGCGTGAGGGGGCTGTCCGCACTGTGGCGGAGGCGAGCGCTGCGGCCACGGCATGTCAGACCTGGTGCAGCGTCAGGCAGCTGATCCTGACGTGGGGCCGGTGCTCCGCTGGAAGGCAGCAGGAGCACGGCCTATGCGAGAGGAGCTCGCCCCGCACCCAAAGTCTGTCAAAGCCCTCTGCGCCCTGTGGGAGGCCTTAGAGGTAAAGTACGGGGTGCTGCGCCGGGGGGTACCCTCCAGTGGCGAGGTACGGTTGCAGCTGGTGGTGCCACAGTCGCTCCGCGGGGCTGTGCTCCGAGCGGGGCACGGCAAGTCGGGTGTGGGGCACTTTGCCGGTAAAAAAACCCTGCAACGGCTCTGAGGCCATTTTTACTGGGGTCTTTGCCACCGGGACATGGAGCGGTATTGCCGAACGTGTGCAGTGTGTGTGGCGCAGAAGAGCCCCCCAGAGTGCTCTCGGGCCCCCCGCCAACAACACCAGGTGGGGGCTCCTATGGAGCGGGTGGGGGTGGACGTTTTGGGCCCGTTTCGTGCACCGAGGCCGGGAACTGCTATGTCTTGGTGGCCATGGACTATTTTACGAAGTGGCCGGAGGCCTACGCCCTCCCTGACCAGAGTGCCCCCACGGTGGCCGATGCACTACTGGAGGGGATGTTTGCCAGGCAGGGGGTGCCGGAGGAGTAACTTCGAGTCCCAGGTCTTCGCCAGAGTGTGCCAGCGCCTGGGGATCACTAAGACGCGGACCACCCCGCTGCATCCCCAGAGTGACGGGTTGGTGGAGCGGTTTAATCGGACGCTCGCCACAGAGCTGGCCACCCTGGTGTCCCGAAACCAATGGGACTGGGACCGCCACCTCCCCCTTGCAATCTGGGCAGATCGGACTGTGGTCCAGGAATCCACCGGGTGCACTGGAGACGGGTCGGCACCGCCGGCTGGACCAGACTACGAGTGGGACCTGCGGCAGCGGATGCGGCGGGTGCACAGCTTTGCACGGACCCACCTGACTCAGGCGGGGGTCCGGCAGAAGCGGCACTACGACCTGCGCTGCAGGGGGCCTGCCTTCCAGCCCGGGGACTCGGTTTGGGTGTACAGCCCGCACCACAGCAAAGGCCTCAGCCCTAAGCTGGCGCTGTCGTAGGAGGGGCCTGCTGAGGTACTCAGGGTGGTGGGCGAGGTCTGCTACTGTGTCCGGTTGCAAACACGGGGGAGAGTGGTGGTCCTGCACCGAGACCACCTGGACCCGTACCGAGCCCGGGAGGAGGAGCCGTGTGGGGAGGCTCTAGAGGAGCAGCCGGGGCCGGAGCCGGCCGATAGTGGGGCGTCCATGGGTCGCCAGCCGTCACCGCAGCGCAGCAGCCGCTCACACAGGGTTCCACAGCTGTTAGCCGAGTACGAGTACAGCCTGAGGGGGGTGTTCAACGTCGGCGAGACGCCAGACGCTTCAGGTGCTCGTAGTACCACTGGGCATGCTGGGAGTGGTAGCCGGGGAGAGTCTGAGGGTCAGCACGATGACCAGCGGCTGACCCTACCTGTGTAAATAATGTCCTAGTAGTCCTAATGCCCTGTGTAGTCTTATAAGAGTATAGCGTGTTGTTAAGTAATGACCACCCTAAAGATTTGTACGTGTTCTGTCAGTCTCCTCATGGGTATGTATTTTTTGTGTTTGTTAACGAATAAAGCTAGCGCTTGGTTTGTTAATCGCGTCTCCACTGGTCCTTTGTTCTGAAAAGAACCTGTAAACGCTACAATATGCTTCTCTTGCTCCCACCTCCTCTCCACTCCCCGTCTTTTGTTCTCCCATACTTTATTAAATGCCGGTTTTCCTGTCTCCCGAAATGATTCTATGTTAATATTCTCTGCTAAATTTTAAAAAGTACTACAACTTTTTGTACAGCAATAATTCATATAGAAGAGTACAATTATTCATACCGAAGGTGTTACAACTACAGCTGGTCTCAATTAACCCCTCATTATCCAATTTCCCTTACATACCCCTTCCTTCACTATTTAAACCCTCAGTTCACCCTGTAACATCGCTCGGTATTAGGATCTCTTCCACCACCAGAGCTCACCTTGCCCTTTCTTCTTAAAGTACCTTTTTATCTTGTCTGGACTCCCTCAATGTCGACTCTTTGGATTTGGTTTTGGATTTCGGTGACCCGGCAGATAAAAACGTTTAGAGAGGGGAAGTCGAGGGGTAGGTGGATGATATGATCTTTTAATTCCTTGGACAATCCCTGGTGGAACTGGCGAATGAGAGATTCCCGATCCCAGGAAGTTTAAGGGAGCCAAGCAGCAGAATTCAGCAACATACACCTGCGGGGGGCAGTTTCCTTGTGTGAGGATGGAAAGGCGGTGAGCAGCAAGGTGGTGAGGGTAGAGCTGACAGAAGGCGGCTTGTACTGCGGCCTGGAAGCTGATAACATCTGCCATCTCAGGGGCGTTCCAGATGAGGAGAACATTGGCCCACCCCAGGGCTCGACCGGAGAGGTAAGAAACCATATACCCAATTCTTTCGCGGTCAGAGGGGAATCAGTCAGGGAGGAGTTGGAAGGCCACCCAACACTGTGTCAGGAAGCCCTGACACTTGGTGGAGTCAACGTCAGATTTTTCCAGAGCAGGGAGGGATAGAGGACTTACTGGTGCTGCAGGGGGTAGAGGTGGTACAGCGGCCGAGATCGGCTGGGGAGCCAGGCATTGAGAAACATGGCTGAGTAGTTCTGTTATGTCCCTCAGCGTTTGGGAGTGTTGCTGGAGAATGGAGAAAGGATCATTTTGACCCTGGGGGTTCATGTTGCTGGCTCTGTATTCTGTAAGAACGAACTAATTTATGAAACCTGTGTGGGTCTCCAGACGAGGTCCGGTAGCTGGCAGGGGATGAGGTAGAGTCATCAGTTATTCCAGCTGGGGTCAAGTCCAGGTAATTGGCAAGAAGAGAGGCAAACAAATCCAATAGGGGCGAGGCAAGAGCGAGAAATCCAAAACCAAGAGTCGACATTGAAGGAGTCCAGACAAGGTAAAGGGGTACTTTAGGAAGAAAGGACAAGGTGAGCTAAGGAGGCAGAAGAGATCCTAATACCGAGCGATGTTACAGTGTGAATTGAGGGTTTAAATAGTGAATGAAGGGATGAGTAAGGGAAATTGGATAATGAGGAGTTAATTGAGACCAGTTGCAGTCAGAACAGAAGGTTAAAACATTATAGCTCTTTTTAAATTACATGAGCTTTTTATAGTTAAAATGAGCACATCAAAACCTTTCCACAATAACCATGTGATTGAATTAAAGACATTAATGCAGAAAAAGTTTATGAAGAAGGTGGAATACTGTTGTGTACTTTATTTTTTTTATTTTTAGCTACCACTACCAGATACTGTATGTACATTAAGTATAATATACTTATATTCATAAATTAATATATTCTTTGGCCAGTGAATCACACAATGTTCTGTACCACAAATAAGAACTAATGCATGTTCTGATGGGCTGCATCTATACAAGATTCCATATTATCATTCCATATTAAGTGGATTTAAAGAAGTAGGGCAACAGATTAATTTGAGCTAATGTTTTCATTAACGTCTTATGTACCGCAAATGCCACATAATGATCTTGATTATCCATATTGAAATCAATGCTCAACAAATCAGCAATGCACCCACCATCAGGAACCAGGGGAATTTTGTTCAGATAGAACCTCAGGTTGCGAAATTCACTGGGCTGTCTGGGCTTCTTGTAGTTCTGTTATATTCAAACAGGGAACAATGAGAAATTAAATTAATTTCAGTTCAATTATTTTCAAACATTTGCATAAGGTGACAGTACGCTAGCCATAACCCTTGCCAAAAAAAGCAGACTTGAAATCAATGGATCTGTGTATTTTATATTATATAGCATATGCATATAGCATGTTTTATCAAGAAGCATTTTAAAAAAGAGAAAGGTAGAAAGGTAGTGTTTTTCATGAGACACAAACTGAAAGAGATCATACCGGGTAGCTGTGACGATACTTATACAAATCCTTTGCAGCATAATAACTTCTTTTCAACTTAGTAGCAGACTCCCGTGCATCAGTGAACTGTAAAACACAATTGCACAAGTATTTCTAAAGTATATAATATAAACTTTTAAAAAATGCTTGAGTCATATTTTATCAAAAAACTTTCCTGGGAATGCTGGAATGTAAACAGTCTTTACATGCAGTACCATTCAATATATAACACATTTCCCTGAACACAGTCAGTCCCACATTTAAGCATGTCCTAGCCCTCTGTATTATTTTTTCTCAGTATCATATGGTTTCCTCACCATATGTAGGCAAATAAACCATTTCTGAAACCAGATTTATTTTCCTTAAATATGTCAATATTTTGTTCACCAAAATGCAATTATCCACTTTTAAATAGTCTATAATATACTGCTAAAATTATAACTTTTTACAAAAACGCAGACATTTTCTTACAATTATGTACTTCCAATTCCTCAATGTAGATACAGTATAAAGTGCAAATAGTTTGGTCCTACATATGTGGTTTTCAAAAGTACTTCCATCAAGCATTATTGGTAAATAATCATGCAATGTTTTTCTTTGCTGTTTTTAGCTGGTATTTAATTTCTTTTTACCCATAACATTCAATGTTTGATTACAATATTTATAGTTAAATGTATTTAATCAATTTCAAATACTCCTTTTAAAACTTGTATATAACATTTGTAATTGTAAAAATATTACAACTAACTGCAACAAAATGGTACATAACTGGAAAGGGAAGAAATATTTCTGCAAGGCACTGTAAATTGGTTCATGCCTTCACAGAACAGTTTTACCAGTAGGTTCTAAAAAGTAAAAGCTGAAACTTTTCCAGTTTCAATCAGCTGATTTTTTCAGTACTCTGAGTATACTGTATATGAAGATGAGCACCCTGCCCATAGAAACAAAGTGAAATTGTACAATTACTCCACACTACTTCTCATCCATCTGGACAAATACACAATGTTCTGTGTCAGGCCCTGCACAGTGTGCCTTTCCAACCTACCTGATAGTGAATTGCAGGTGCTTCAGGTGTCAGCTCCAAGATAAGTTTAGCATTTACCATAGTTGTATTTTTAATGTCCCTAAATTGCACCCTTCCTGCTAAAACATGGCTGAATGCACATGTGCACCAAGTGATAAACACACCAACACAGTGGACATTCTTCCTAGGCTCTGGTTTACCCTAAGGACAAATTCATGATCCTCCAAAGGCGAAGCAGTCACCGAAAATTGGTGTATTATTAATACTGTATGTCAAGGATGCTCATTTTAATTTAGCAGGGTGTATCTAAGAAGAATTTAAGCAGAGCATTTCTCGAAAATATTCAACTGATTCACAAAATGGTATTAATGGTACTGTATGCAGTGACTTTCTTTATTCCAACTAATTAACAGCTTTCTTGGGATTCAGCTATTTCTCTACTTCTGCACCAGATCATTTCATACTGTTTCCTTACCCAGAAACTTTTACATCCTCTAAATCATGTTCTTTGCACTAGATTGGTTGCCTCCTCTAACTTATTCATTAATCTTTAGGTTAATATAACCACACAGCAGATTTGTCAATTAAGCAGCGTTGCAGTTCACGAAAGAGAATGAATAGAAAGTGTTTATCCATGCGATTCCACATGGGACGCTCGACTTTCCGGTTAGATCAAGAGAAAAGTGATGCAATGAAGTGAACTAGGTCAACGCAATCATGACTGAGGAAGTGATACATTTTAAAACCGTACCTTTTCAAATGTTGTTTATTTATTGGTTAGATATTAAATCTATTGCCAAAAACAATATATGTGTTTATATAGGTGTTTATATGAGGCTACCAGATCCTGAAAAATGTATATTCGAATGTGTAATTTATTCAAATCCGACTACAGGCTGAAATTAAAACATTACAATGCTATAATATTTCGTGTAATGCAATGCAGGAATACGGATAACATTTTATAGGAGATAGTACTGTATTCACCAAATACCTGTCTTTAAAAACAAAAGCCGAACAAATCTCGTTTAAAGATAGAACAAGTCAAGAACACATAGATATATCTCAAATTTCTGCTCAGCCCCAGATCTTTTAGAAAAACGGAAGAAACGCAAATCAAGCACAAAACACCAGCATACCAAAATGTAACGTATTTTTTACAATAGGTTGCACAACAATGCAACATCAACGAACTAGTCCCCAGCATTGCTCAATTCAGTTTTCCGATTCAATTACTGTGTATAGCACATTATACAGTAATTAAAAATAACGAGATAACAATAAAACTCGGTTTCTGTAGATAAACATTTTAGGTATACAGTATATGGCTTACAAGTGAACGGTAGTTCGTGCTAAAGACAGCCTTAATTCAATCTAAAAACAATCTATAATTTACATGTACAAACTCTGTATTATTTATATTATTATATTACTTTTAGAAACAATATTATAAATATTCGCCTTTCCTTTAGTAAATTAATACAAAGCATAACCACAAGAAGAAACCATAGTAACTAATGTCTTGGCAGTTACTGAAATCAATACATACATTTAGCCATCTGTGTTCATTTCTTACTGTTTTACCTGATGTGAAGTTAGATTTTCTTCATCTCCACATCTGGAGGAGTTCGCTAGTCTATCTTCCGCCGTCATGTTGTTGTCGTCTACCGGCTGCAGCTCCTCGGGATCGGAGTCTGTCTCCCAGGTCGAGTCGCATTCCTCCACTGTGCTTGGCTCCTTGTACCTCAGGCTACCCATCAGATTTCCCATTTAAAACTCAACTCCAATTCTCTTTTCACTCCTCCTGCTGCATATTCAATCACCGGTATTCACCATCGTCCAGAACAGCGAATCTACTAGCCTCCCAACCCTAGAACGCAGAATAAACAAAGCATTAATGTCAGAATTACAGAATTTCCACAGGAAGCCGGACCAAAGCGAGCTGAACACACCCCCTTCTGTCGAAACTAGGCAATGTTCACCAAAAATCAGTGGTAATATCCAAATACAGTACCAAGTTTCCTTCTACATTATTTGCTCATTATGAAACATATTTTATACAGGACATATAAATTCAACATAAGACAAAACATCAGAACACATAAGAATATTTTATTTATTAGAAAATGGATTATGGTCTTTGTATGTTCACCTTTATATTTCGATATCACTGTGAGTCTCTCCCTGATATTAAGTTACTATTTTGCACCATTCGTCAGAAATTTAAATATTTCAATTAGTCTTCCGTGTTTAGTCTGCTGTTGTGCATGTAGGTGGATTCTGCACATTGGTGGTGGTGGAGGGGATCCCCATTACCTGTAAAGCGCTTTGAGTGGAGTGTCCAGAAAAGCACTATATAAGTGTAAGCAATTATTATTATTATTATAGGTACTGGGTTCCCATCCCCCAAAATTTCTACTGGTATGTTCAACCGCTATTATTCCAGTCTTCAACCGAAATGTGCATTTTTACTGTCACAACAAAGTATTTAGAAAGGTCAAGGCATTTATATTCAGTGCATCAAGCCAAAATCCACTGTCAGCCTTATGTATTGTAGTATTTTCGGGTTTGGCGAGGACGGACACAGTGATTCAGGCACTCATTGACTGAAAAACGGCACTTTTATTTTTCGGCACAGCCAGCACAACCTAAAAGGTTTTACTTTTCCCACTGGGAGTTTTTCCGTTCCTCTCCTCTGTTCCCTCATGGTTTACTATTGCTGAACAATTTTGTATACATTTTACCAGCATTTTACAAAAATGCCTAGACTGTAATTCCCATGGGAGACAGAGTCTAGCAGTGGTTGTTTCCTTTCCACCAGTCTGTCACCCTATGCAGCCATACTACTTTGCTCTGAACTCTCCCAACACACAAATCTGCCTGCACATCTTTCTCCAAGCCAGCCACACTGGTGAGACCTCCATGCTTCACTCATGTCTCCATGATATCTGCCACCTGTCCCTTATCCACTGAATCTCACCTGCTTTCCAATGCCTGCTTCAAATCCTGCTCCCCTTCTGCCTTTTACACACTTTGGGATTAACACTCTAAATATTGCCACCTACATGTAATAAGTTTAAATTTTTCTATTTTTTTTCCCATTCATAACTTTTCTGTTCCCAGCATTAAAGTCTACTCTCTTGTTCCACCTTTCCTCTGCACAGCACAAAAATAAGCACTACTTATCATTGTGTTTTTGTCTCTGTGCTCTCTTACTACCTTTCATCTGACCTGTGTGTTAACCAGATGGGATGGCTAGGGATTTTTGGGGAGATTACTTTACACAAATGCCTAGACATTTGAACTGCTTAGTTTCAAAATAAGATCATTTAAGACAGTGGTTACCCGCCTTTGTCCTTAGGGAACACTGTGCCTGTGGGCTCTTGATATAACTGAGCTCTGAACCACCTACTTCAGAACCACCTATTAATATACATTTAATTTGTATCTGCTTGTTCATTTAAATGCTTGGTTTACTTATTTTTGCATTAAAACATAAATTTTAAAATTCTTACTTAAACATATAGAATTTTAAGCAGACTCTCTAAAACTTACATTATGTCAATTTGTTCTGTAATAGTTGATCAATTTATGATGTGAAGACAGAGGCCGGAATGACAGTCTATCAGGCATTCCCACACTTCGCCTTTTGTCTTCTTCAGAGGTCTGGTTATTTTCAAGTCAGCCCATCTTCAGTTGAGCTGAGAGAAGTTCTAAAAAACTCAAAAATTGGTGGAGGCTTAATACCAATTACAGATCTCACATGATGGTTCAAAAGCTGAAAGTTAATTTTAAAATTTGACCCAATTACAAAACTAAACTCAATTACAGTGTTATTAAGAAATTGCCTGGAGTAAAAACTGGAAGACAGCGGTCCCCAGATCAAGAAAAAAGTATTTATTTAAGAACTCCTTATCCTGTTAGTGGCGAAGACCCTTTTAGCCAATGGAATTTCCTCCCCTTAAACAGGTCTTAAATTGAAGCTAACCCCTTGGCTTTGAGTGTGAACAGTCAAATTTCTTGTATTTCTTAATATGTCCACTCAGCAGACAAACATGAAAAAACAAAACAAAAAACAGCAGGCGGAATTTTTTTGGTCAACATTATTAATTCTAGGAACAAGTAATAGGTTTATTCCATGCTGAAAAAAAGAAGAAAGAGAACACAACGTTTCGGCCGTGGAGCCTTCTTCAGGTGTCGACACCTGAAGCCTTCTTCAACACCTGAAGAAGGCTTCAGGTGTTGACACTTGAAGAAGGCTCCACGGCCGAAACGTTGTGTTCTCTTTCTTCTTTTTTTCAGCATGGAATAAACCTATTACTTGTTCCTTTGCAGCCTACGCATGCTGACGCAGCTACCCACCTGAATTTTTAATTCTAGGCCTGTCAGGGAACTGGAAAAGCTTTGAAAACCTTGTTGTAGGTGTCTGCTAACTTGGATAAAAATCTGGGACAAATTCATCAATTTAAAAAAATAATTTAATGTTTTGTGAAGACTTGACCTGGAATGAGTTTCTCACATATAATAAATAAATCATAAAAATATTGAAAGTAATAAAAATACAAATCACTGCAATTGCTATAAAAATGTTTAGACACTGCTAGAGAGCCTTTTTCTGCTGTTAGGCTTGAAAAAAACCTCAGAGTTGCCTTCTGGTGTGAAAAAAGAAGCACTGATAAGAAACTGATTGATTACCTTTTCTGAGTCAATGATGGACAGCTAGAAAGCAATTGGCATGTAGCCTGAGGCTACTAGAGGAAGTCTTACCCCTAAGGGCTCTGAATGGCTGAAAATACTATGAATGACACCGATTTTTACCAATCAGGTTGCCTTATTTTGCCAGTTTTGCTTCAAATATCTACTACATAGTCAATAACCTATCAGTAGCCCCCAGGTCTGGAGGAGGTTTAGTCTAGGCTCTGTGGATATAGATCGTGCTTCAGAATAAGGTAAAAACAAGGAGCTTTTTTTTGTTTGCTCGTTTTTGCTTTTGCGGTTTGTTTTGCTGACTTATTGATTGCCTTATCGATGCATTTTGGAAGTTTGGAATTGTATCATCAGATAAAAAGTGACTTTGTGATCGATTGTCTTTTTTAAAAAAAAACACGTTTTTTTTAAAGCTCCGGTTGTCCTTTTTCGATTGATAACATGTTTTTGTGGTTTTGTTGGTAAAAAAAAAACGATTAAAAATGATGCAGGAATCAAAAATAGGTATTGATTTACACCGTGGACGCTTGCGACTACACCAAGCATGGGACACGTTAGATTCTATGAATTTTTTTCTTTAAGTTCTGTAAGCAGTTTTGTTAAGCTCTAGTTGAACCTCTCTCGATTGATAAAATATTTTCTGCAAAGGTTTTGTGGTTTTGGTGATGTAAAACGATGAAGTGAGACGCTCCTTTTGAGTCAAGTTTTTCTTAGAACGTAGGCACTTGTGTCCATGACCAGCATTATTCAATATAACAGCTACATTTCTAATTGCTAAGCTTACTGTGGATCATTTGCTGCAGAGACGCTAACTAATCTGTGTAAACTAAAAGCAGATTCTTCCTTGCCAAAAACATATTGTCAAGTCAGTCACCTCTCATCATCTTAGTATCTTGCCTTCAGGGACAGCAGAGCTATAATATTAGGAACAGACAAAAACAGTAACTGCAGGACAAGCTTTCAAGAGCACAGTTCATGCAGAATTCTATGCATCTTTGACATCTAAGGAAATGCATTTAAATCTGAGGGCAGTATACACATTTTACACAAAGGTTACTGGGAGTATGGAACAAGTTATCATTGATGTCAAAACACTGGCTTCTTTCAAGAAATGGCTAAATTAGATCATTACATCAATAAATACTTGTAATCAAACAATCTAGATGGACTTAATGAGCTCTTCTTCTTTGTAACCTTTCTTATGCTCTTAATTAATGTTGTTGTTTTTTAAATTCAGCTTGTTTATTTCTTGTTTGTCTTGTACATATGAAATCTAAGAATAGAAAAAATGTTTATGTCTTTGATTAAATACATACTTCTAAAAGAGTATGCTCTGTAAAGTATGGCTTTTGCTAAATTTCAGTACAGACCCATGATTATTTTCCTTATCTGTAATTTATCAACTATGAAAGGTTTGTGCGGAACCTTCAAGATCTCAACAGTAGCTCAAGCACTGGTGGTCTTTTTATGGATGACACATGATTTTTTCACACATCATATTAATATCACAAAAGAGACTGGAATTTCCTAGTAAGATTTTAAAACAATCATCAAAAAGCACCAAAGACTTGGGTATGTCCAAGATCTTTGCAAGACGGATTCTCACAAAATTGTATCAGCCTAGAGTTGTAAGTCATTATAATCTACACTATATAACATGCACTGAATAGCAAGTTCTGTTGGAAATTTGCTAATGCATATATTCACTTAAGTTATATAATAATTACATATTCAGAAATGTGCTATTATTAGTTTTTTTGAAGGTAATTAAATACAATTTCACTGTTCCATACATTTTGACACCAAAATGTTTTTATAGCAATATTAATATATTCAAAGTACATTACCAGGTACTAACTAATACTAACCAATGTATCTTCTTGGGATGTTTTGCTAATAGTAACAAAACCAATGGTACAGGGAATTAAAATATATTACAGAAAAGACACTGGGGCTGATTTAAAAAAAGGTGGAGTAAGATTTCTGTTTCTTAAACCCTGCAGTGAAAAACTATGTGTCTTACCATATGTAAGGCCTCCAGTCAGCTTCCAGTGGGCCATGTTGCTAGCCAATAGTAATCAGAAGTCACTAAGCAGTGATATACAGTACAACTAGCTGGGGGTAGTGCAGGGTTAGTTGGCCAGAGCTCCCTCAGCTCTCAGAACTTGCAAGCTTGTGACATTGTTGGTGGAATACATCTCTCATCCAATCAGCACTGAACCACTGATGCAGAGTTGTGTTG